AAAAACTGCCCTAAACAAATAGCCTAGCTTTTCCCAGTCGCTGCAGCTATTGACGAGATGAGTTCGTGTCTTATCAAGTCCTCGGTGATCCGAACTCCGACCAGCCGAAATGAACGACTCTTTGGCAGAATTCGGCCATCTATCGAAATCGGATGAGTGCTACGCCGCTTCTTGTTAGTTAAAGTACAGTAGTACTGTGTTCTGGAAGCATTAAACTGAAGTAAGATTGATGCGTCAAGTATTAATAACTTCCAGGTCTTTAGTCAGAGTGGGAGTCGCTGCTAGTCTTCTTTTCCAGCTCACCGGCAGAGATCGGCTTATTACTTTGAATTCCTGCATGTAGAGTGTTGTCATCAGCAAAGTTGTGGATTCAATTGATCGTTCAGGTAAGAAGGCCGTTGATATGTAAGAGGAACAATGTCGAAGCCAAGATGAATCCCTGGGGTACACCCGCGTTGATGTTGTCAGAGAGGAAATCAGCCACTTATCTGCAAAGCCTCTCTGGAAGCCCATAGGATGGAAGAGGGCAGCATGCCAGAGCTGTTCGAATATTTTCGTGATATCAAGAGCAACGGACATGGCCCTCACCATAAGACTGGATGAGTTTACTCCAGAATTTCATGACGTACGCTAGGAAGGCCCCTGTGGATCGCTGGTGCTGGAAACCACTGCCTGTCGCTAATCGAGATACTCCAGGAGCTCGCGATTTATACACCTTACTTTTAACAGAAAGCAGAGCTATAGGCCTGTAGTTGTAAGGGTCGGTCTCAGATTCCTTTTTTGGGATGGGTTGCACATGAGCAAGTTTCCAGTTTTCTGGGAAGGTGCCGCATTCGAAAGTTAGGGCAGGATGTCACAGCTGATCGAACGCCACAGATCCGTGACGTAAGCTAGGAGGTCCCTCGTAGCACGCTGGCACCCGAGAATTATACTGACCGTCTCTAATCAAGTCGTGACTACATAAGCTCACGATTTATGCACATCTTCATCACTTTATGACAGAAAGCATAGCTGTAAGCCTGTCGTTGTAAAGGGCGGTCTATACTGAGAAGTAGTAACCGAAAACAGGAACAAGAAAAGAACATTGATGAAATGAAGTCTGACAATTTTATGCCTTCCAAAAAGTCGCTAATAAGAACTACTATAAATTTAATGAAATATTCATAATCATTATTTCAAAAGTACTTTGTGAAACTGGAAACTTTACTCATTCTGTTATCTTTCTGAAGTGGAGAAATATCTGCAGACGTATCAGACATGCAAGGAAACTGGACCCTCTGCCAGGAAAAGACGTTTGTAATGGTATTTGGATAGGAATAATTTACGATTGTTGGTTGGATCTTTAACAGGTCACATTATGTTAGGAGTCACATCCACATCGTAAGGGATTTCGAGGATTCTCTTTGTGGGCAGTGAGGAGTCCTCCGGCCACATTTTACATCGTTTTGACGCCTTAAGAAAACCATGCCAGGACAGCAGGGCCAGTGGCGTAGGCTCCTCCTGAGAGGTCCCATATCAAAATTTGTCGAGGCGCCCAATTCTAGGAGAGTAAAGTTCGGAGTGAGGATTGTTCATAAATAAACAAAGATTATTGCGTCTAATCATATGAGATAATTACGTATTGACTAAGTATCGATTTTTACAATTAACGCTCCACGATGAACAAATAACAAATATTCATTTTTTTACCTTTACACCCCCACACATAAGGGATGGAAGTAGAGTGGACCTCCGGTAATCCGACAAACATTATGCAGGGCAGTGTCGGACTATCGAATTTGTCGGATTATAGAGCACTGCCTAAGACCCCCTATAGTCCGGAACTTTTTACAAACGAGTACCTTGTAATCCGAGAAATTACATATCCCATGGTAAGATTATAATGTTATGTATATGTATGTACTTTGAAGTACAAATCATACAACATAGTTTATGTACGTCAAATTTAGTAAATTAAATAATACGTAAATAGAGAGCCTACGTGTTATTATAAAACTAAGCATAAATGCACATACATATGTACCAAAATAATCAAGTATTATTAATCAAAATCATTAATGCATTTATCAAATTATGAAGCTTGGAAATATTCATCAATTTTTTTTTGTTTAAGGTTGTTATAACGCGAGATCAGAGCTTTGTCGCTCAGTCTTTTCAAAAGTAAAAGTTCGTTGTAGGATGTACCATTCTCTTCAGTCCATTGTAAACCTAGCTCAAAGGCGTTAATTGCGTCTTGTGCTGTGTCTTGTGGAGCAGTTGCAATCACGTCGTCGTTATTTTCCTGATTGTTTGTTGTATAATTAGAAACCTCTTTTATAATCTCTTCGTCAGACATCTCATGAAAAACATTTTCCTCTTTATCCATTCCACGGCACCAGATTCCCAAATCTTCGGACTTAACTGTGTTTCAGTAGCGACTTGTTCTATAACTTTCGAAGTACACTGATTTGTGGAACGTTGCTAGGGTGGTGACTATATCTGGCCAAACTTTTTCCAAGACGATTTAATAGTTGAATGACGGTAACGCATTCCACGACTGACAAAGAGGAAAAACCAAGTCTTTCATATTAAATTCTTTTAAAGTTTTTTCTATTGCAATTTAAGCGATCTAAATATCACATTTTTTCTTTAATTGTCAATGTTTTGTGCATTCGCTTCTGAGTTTGTGATGACAATTACTAGATACTATACTTAATACACAATGAATAAATAGTAAACAATGAACGCACGCTAGGCCGTACCGCTATCACCAGTAGTCAAATTCAAACTGAGTAAAAACAATGCTTACGCGTCGAGCACGATAGCGGTGGCGCGTACAAGTTGTAACCTGTTCAAACCTGCGTGAT